GACGCGCTCCACACTCATGGGAGATGGAACCATCTCTCCCTATCACAACAACTGCACTTCCAGCTGCACCATGGGACTGGTGCAAGGATCCATCACTGAAAATAATCTGGGAAAGGGAGCACTCTCTGACTAAAGCATCAATTTGGCTTAAGGCATTGTACTTTGCTTCTTGTCGAAGCAAGGCTTGTTCTTTAATCAGCTTCTTGGGTGGGAAAGGGGGGACAGTAATTTGGAAAGGAGTGATCTTCCATGGGGCAGGAAAGTGTTGTTGTTGTCTCTCTTGGTAGGGGTGATGAAAGTTATACATTCTGAGCACATTGGCAGTTACGGTAATCCATTTGGAGGGATGCTGACCTTCAAGGAAGAAGACTTGGAGGGCTTCAGTGCAGGGGTTAGGGTGGGTTAGCCTAAGCATCTTGATACCAATTAAAGCATTAATTAACGGCAAAAGTAAGTGTAATTATGTACTATTCCTAGCAGTTAAGAACTGTACTTATTACACTTGGTATTAAACCGTACTGTCAAATAATCTCTATAATTGCACCAAAATATTGTGAATATTTGAGTTTACCTGAAAAGCTGAATAGAAAACCAAGACATCCCCGCCCCCCCCCCCCCAACCGCCCCAAACCGCCTTAGAGTATGAGAACAAGTATTTTATTGCTTCTTAATTACAATTAGTACTTAATCTATAGCTATACTGATATTACAGTTTTATAAAACTAATAAAACAAAACTAAAATCTTTCAGTAAATTATAATGTCACTCAAGATTCTTTCAAATTTTGTATAAAATCTCTATTGTTTAATAAAACTGTAAAAGAATTCTTTTATATTTAAAACTTTTGTATACAGAAAAGAATTCTTTTATATTTAAAACATTTGTATACAGAAATAAAGCTAAGGACTTCTTATTAAAGTCCTGGAACGTTAATTTCTGAAATCATCTTAAGATACTCCTCAAGAAGGTGTGGGGGAAAACACTTAAGACAAAAACTTAAAACTAATTGAGATCAAATATTAAATTGTAGTTAAGAAGGGAAAAAAGAATGATAATTACATGATGGATGGAACAGCAGAAATTGAAACAGAACAGAAGTCATTTTACCTAAATAAACAGAAGACTACAACTTCTTCTAATAAGTACATTTTTTTTTTTTCTTTTTTTTTTTTTCTTTTTTTTTGAGATATATACAAGAGTTATTACATTCTTGTACAGCCACTAGTACGCGTAGCGTTTCGGGCAGGTCCTTAATCCTATGGTCCCTGGAATACGATCCCCTGCCGCGAAGAATCGTTTTTTCATCCAAGTACACATTTTACTGTTGCGTTAAACAGAGGCTACAGTTAAGGAATTGCGCCCAGTAAATCCTCCCCGGCCAGGATACGAACCCATGACATAGCGCTCGCGGAACGCCAGGCGAGTGTCTTACCACTACACCACGGAGACTACATACATAGAAGCAGTTACAAACATTCCGATTGATTTATGGATAGAGCTTGTACATACAATACCTAAAGCCTTGCACTACGGGCTTACCATAGCCCGTGCTACTTGGAACTTTGTTCCAGGTAGCGAATCTTTAACAACAACAACAAACAACCTAAAGCCACTAGTACGCATAGCGTTTCAGGTAAGGTGAGGTGGGGAAAAAACAATTAGACTAAAACTTAATAGTAATTGAGCTTAAAGTATAAATTTCGTTGAAAGAAAACAAATAAAAGATAAAAAAGGGAGGAACATGGTAAAAAATAGTATACAAGTTGGTCAACAAACAGCATTGTTTAACAAAATAGTAAGACATGGGTTGACATTTAGAGGTAAGATAGGTTACATGGAGTTAATTAGGTGGTACTTAGTTTTCATCTTAAACTGGTTGAGAGAGGTACAGCCTTTGACATGATTGGGAAGGTCATTCCACATTCTGGGTCCTTTGATTTGAGGAGCATTTCTAGTTTGATTAAGTCGTACTCTTGGAATATCAAATAGGTATTTGTTTATGTATCTGTGTAAACACTCTATGCAAATTAAGGGACCTAGTCTGTGGAACTCACTCCCTAGTGAATTGAAAAACTGTAAAACTTTTGCCTTATTTAAAAGCAAAACCCAAAAAGTACCTAATTTCATCTTCTTAGTTTCCTACACTGAGCTTTAAATTTGCTCTGTACCTAGTGGTACCCAATCTCATAATTTTTATGTAATATCAAACAACCTTATCATTGTGTTCATTGCTGTCTTCTTTAATGTGCTAGCCATATGCTGTATTGTGACTACCAATTTTTGTCAACTACCATTCAAGCTGTCATTGCAACCAATCTTATATTGTTTCTGCTGTATTGTGCCTACCAATTTTTTTGTCAACTACCATTCAAGCTGTCATTGCAATCAATCTTAGCTACCTATGTGCTTTAATATACTGTACCTACAATTTTCTCTCATCTTTTTTTCATTTCATGTAATCTGTTATCATTTTTTGTCTATAATTTTTGCAAGTATTTACCTCCTTAAAATTTTCTTAAATTAAGGACCTGCCCGAAACGCTGCGCGTGCTAATGGCTTTACAAGACTGTAATTACCATATTTGTATCCTCACATTCCTTATGTACATTCTTGTATATGCATAAATAAATAAATAATAAATAAATAAGTTTATGGTGTGGTGCCCATGGGTTTTTTATTTTTATATTTTCTCGAGACAATTTATACTTTAATCTCAATTAAAGTATAATAGATAATCAATCAATTAATCATTATCTGCTGATGTAGACCTGACCAAATGTAAACTGTGTCAACAAAATTATTCGCACACCCTCCGTCACTATGTGATAGAGTGCGAAAAGATACGTGAATTTAGAGACAATTCTATAACCAATGTTCCAGCGATGTGTCAATATCTCATTCAAAATGATCTGCTACCAGAAATTTTAGCCAAATATCCCCAGTTTGCTAACTGTAGGTAGTAACTGAGTGATTGTAACCTATCCACCGCTGCCCACTGGATGGGGGGCGGTGTGCAGGACAAACATATCAATTGTGACACTAGCTCTCCACATATGTCAGTTGCTTAATTTAGAACCTGTACTTGTGGTCGATCTCGAACCCATTGTTGATGCGATGACTTATATTGAATTTTGTAACTATAGTTACAAAATTGATGAGCTATAGCTCATCAAGATTGTAACTTGCTTAGCTAAATGAATTGTGGGGTTCAGTCCCTGAGCCCATTATGTGCCTCTGTAACCCTTTCCACTACCGCCCACAAGATAGGTATGGGGTGCATAATAAATGAACTAAACTAATCTCAATTAGTATTAAGTTTTAGTCTTTAGTGTTTTTCCTGCCCGAAACGCTTTGTGTAATAGTGGCTTTAGGCATTGTATGTACTAGCTCTATCTATAAATCCATCAATGTTTGTATCACACCTTGTATGTATGTACTTTACCTGAATAAACATTTGAACATATTCAAAGATTTGAGTAAGGGTACCGAGTGCTGTCTGAGATATTGTTCTAATAGCAGCTTTGTGTTGGGTAATTAGAAGACGTAAATGAGTTTGGGAAGTAGAACCCCAAGCACAAATACCATAGTTGAGATATGGATAGATGAGAGAGTAACAGAGCGTCACCAGGGCAGGGCGGGGTACATAATATCTGATCTTAGAAAGAATACCAACAGTTTTTGAAACTTTTTTTGCTATATTTAGAATGTGTCCCTGGAATTTCAGCTTGTTATCGATGAGGACACCAAGGAATTTACCATCAACTTTACTACTGATATGTATATTGTTTATTCTTAGATCAATTTCATTTGAGGAATTATTACCAAACAAAATATAATTTTTTTGTCAATGTTAAGGGTGAGTTTGTTAGCAGTTAGCCAAAGATGGACTTTATTTAGTTTAGTATTCACAGTGACATTTAGAGCAAGAGGATCAGGACTGAAGAAAATGAAAGTTGTGTCATCAGCAAATAAGATTGGTTTGAGGTGTTTATAGAGGCATTTGGAAGGTCATTAATATAGATGACCAAGAAGAGAGGGCCAAGTATGCTGCCTTGTGGAACACCAATGTTTACGGGTAGTATAGGAGAAATGGAATTATTCACAAAAACATACTGGAGCCTGTCAGTAAGGTAGGACTGAAGGTATTGCAGGGTATTACCCTGCAATATCTTTGACAATACCAAGAAGGTATTACCTTTGACTCCATAATGATGTAATTTAAGAAGAAGGTTTTGGTGGTTGACAGTGTCAAAAGCCTTACGTAGGTCCACAAATACCCAACAGGGAACTCATTTTTATCAAGAGCTGTATGTATCAAGTTAATCATACTAATCAGTGCATCGTTAGTGCTTTTATTGGGTCTGAAACCATATTGGCAAGAGCTAAGTATATTGAGTTTGGCTAGATATGAGTAAAGCTGCTTGTAGATTAGCTTTTCAAATATTTTTGACAAGTTTCAGAATTGATATGGGTCTGTAATTGTTGACATCAGTGAGATTACCACATTTGTGGACTTGGGTTATTCTCGCTTTTTTTAGAATAAGTATATGAATATGAATAAGTATAAGAATAAGCATAGAATAAGTATCTATATAAGAATATATGTAAATAAATTAAATAAATAAATACTCTGAACAAAAATTTAAAAGCAGCACGGGTTATGATGAGCTCGTCGTACTTACCTGGCACAGGAAATATGCCCCAGGTGTCGTTACCATCAGACGTCCACGCGTCGTCAAAACTGAACCAGAAGCCATCATCTGTAAACTTTGATAAATTATTGGGGGGGGGGGTGTTATCTTCAAGAACACACGCAACACGACTTCCTCTCCACATTAAGGCCACCGGAGATGGTAATCCATAGGTAAATTCAGGTAAACATATACAAGGCACTTAATAACGTTGCAATACTTGGCCTGATTGAGGCCTATCTAAGGTCTAAATTTCAAACTTAGCAAAGTATATCCATCATTTACCATGACGAGAGAATCGGACACGTGTTGATACTTTATCAGTCAGCTGATCGGCCTGCGGGGTTGCTCTTGTTTACATTTCTAACCACTGAAGGAGTACATTGACGCACCTGACATGTAATTGAATTCCTTGCAGATGACCATGCACATTCTTCCACCAAGGAATATATACTCTCATTGTCTTCACCTTCGAATTTGGATTGGCAAGGAACATATACAGTTTAGTCCCGTCGCTGCCCCTAATTAACAACACGCCCTGTCTAGGCAAGTTTTTCTTAACGTTCCTTTTATGTTTAAATGTTAATTAGATATAAACCATGTGTTAAATATTCACATATGATCTTTCCATTAGTCTTTGCTGCAGAGGGGGTAAAATCCTACCACTGCTGGAGATAGCTTGGCTACTTTACTTTGAAGAGGTTTCAAGAATCAATATCCTTATGCCAGTCTGACCAGGCATCTTGGCTGGTGATCTGGTTACTAGGCTGTTAGATGCCTCTGCTCGAAGTCTAACATATAATAATAATAATAATAATAATAATAATAATGATAATGCATTGTCTTGGGACTGCCAGCCAGAGTGTATTCATACATATTAGGCTTACATCAAGAACTCTTTCCCCCCCCCCCTCCTTAGGTCACATTACTGACCCCACACAGGAGGCAACACAACAACAAGCTGACTAATTCCTGGGTACCTACTTACTGCTAGGTGAGCAGGGGCATTAGGTGAAATGTGCCCAACCATTTCTGTCCCGCCCGGGATATGAACCCAGAATTCTCAATTGTTACGAATCGAGAACGAACCCGATTGTACTACCAGGACCCTTAAAATACAATGAATAATACCTTAATAAATTATATACAGTTCATCAGGTGGGGATATGGTAATATCATGCACAATCGTGTGACAAAGCTCATTTTCTGATTGCCTAACCTGTATCATTAGGTTAGCATGTATTAAGTTAAGCTTGATTGAGTTAGGTTAGTTTGGGTTAGGTTAGGTCATGTAAGGTTAGGTAGGTTTTAAAGTCCATTGGTGAACTCTTGTATTGCATACTTTTCATTTTTTTATTTTTATTTATTTATTTATGTATATATACATACAAGAGGTCTTAAATTCTTGTACAGCTAGTAGCACGTATACCATTTTGGGCAAGTCATTAATCCTAATTTACCCCAGAATATGACCCACCAAATCATTTAACAACCAGGTACCCATTCACTGCTGGGTGAACTGAGGCTACAGTTAAGGATTGATGCCCAGTAAATCCTCCCGGCTTGGATATAAAGTGCCAGGTGAGTGTTTTACCACTGTGCCACAGGGACAGTCACAAGAGTTGTATCATACAAGTAGATTATATCTCCAGTAGATTGACCGTTGAGAGGCGGGACCAAAGAGCCGCAGCTCAGACCCCATAAGCACAATTAGGTGAGTACAAGTACATTGTGACTTGTATTCGATCAGGTATTTTTTGGAGGTGTATTAAGTTTTCTCTTGAACACCAAGATAGGTTGTCTAGTTATGACCCCTTATGTATATAAGTGTGTTGAAAAGTCTTGGGCCAGGTGAGAGAGAGTGCTAAGAAGCAAGATCACAAAATACATGGAATCACAGCATCTCCATAACCCCGGACAACATGGTTTCAGAACAGGGCGCTCTTGCCTGTCGCAGTTGCTGGACCACTATGATATGGCATTAGATGCTATGGAAGACAAACAAAACGCTGATGTAATTTACACAGATTTCGCAAAAGCTTTTGATAAATGTGACCATGGTGTTATTGCACATAAAATGCGTTCAAAAGGAATTACCGGGAAAATAGGCAGATGGATCTACAATTTCCTGACTAACAGAACCCAATGTGTAATAGTAAAATCCAGCCCATCAACCGTGAAGAGCTCAGTCCCCCAGGGTACTGTGCTTGCTCCAGTACTTTTTCTCATCCTCATATCGGACATAGACCAGAACACAACCTATAGCACTGTATCATCCTTTGCAGATGACACTAGGATTTTCATGAGAGTTGGCAACATAGAGGACACGGCAAACCTCCAATCAGATGTAGATCAGGTCTTTCTATGGGCTACAGAAAATAATATGGTGTTTAATGAGGATAAGTTCCAGCTCATGCGCTACGGAAAAATTGAAAATATAAAAACAGAAACCACGTACAAAACTCAGGCAAATCATAACATAGAACGAAAAGGCAATGTAAAGGATCTGGGTGTACTCATGTACACCTTACCTTTAAAGAACACAATAAAGTAGCCGTCACAACTGCAAGAAAAATGACAGGTTGGATAACAAGAACTTTTCACACTAGAGATGCTATACCGATGATGATACTTTTCAAAACGCTTGTGCTCTCTAGAGTGGAGTACTGCTGCACAATGACAGCCCGTTTCAAAGCTGGAGAAATTGCTGACCTAGAGAGCGTACAGAGATCCTTTACTGCTAGAATCCACTCAGTAAAACATCTAAATTACTGGGACCGACTAAAGAGCCTAAATCTGTACTCCCTTGAGCACAGGCGGGAGAGATACATAATAATTTACACGTGGAAAATAATTATGGGGCTGGTCCCAAACCTGCACACAGAAATAACACCACATGAGACCAGAAGACATGGCAGGATGTGCAGAATACCCCCGTTGAAAAGCAGAGGTGCAACAGGTACTCTGAGAGAGAACTCTATCAACATCAGAGGCCCGAGACTGTTCAACACGCTTCCACTACACATAAGGGGCATAACTGGCAAACCCCTCACAGTGTTCAAGAGAGAACTGGATAAGCACCTCCAAAGGATACCTGATCAACCAGGCTGTGACTCATACGTCAGGCGTATGTTAGACGTCAGGCGTCATACGTCTGGCTGTTAGACGCGGCTGCGAGCAGCCGCGTCTAACAGCCTGGTTGATCAGTCCAGCAACCAGGAGGCCTGGTCGACGACCGGGCCGCGGGGACACTAAGCCCCGGAAGCACCTCAAGGTAGCCTCAAGGTAGGTAGGTAGGTTCTGTCTTTGGTAGGCCAAACACACTCCACAGAGTGATCGGTCTGAGTGAATTATGAACCTCAGCTCCCTGTACATCTTTAAAATACCCATAAAATGGGTATTGATAATAAAATTGATAATACACATAAAATTGTTAAACAGTTTGTCATGGTCATATTCTGGGGAACATAGGATTAAGGACTTGCCCGAAATGCTACGCATGCTACTGGCTGTACAAGAATGTAAGAATTCTTGAATATATAAATAAACAAAAAAATAAAGGGGGGCCAGGTTTTAGCTCACAATGCCTTTCAAGTACTTGGTGTGACTTGACTTTGATGGAGCTATCCAGATAGCTAGCAACAGGGAGCCACCATATGAGCCTTCTCAGAAAACAGTGATCAAGTACTATACTGTATACAGTATAGGCCTGCAATGTAATATATATACTGTACAGTACATTTATTGCATGTAAATCTGTTCCTGGCTCAGCTCAAACGAAGTGTCTTGAAGCCCACTCTTTGCTGCTATTCTGTCTGGTAATGCTCGAGGTTACCAGTGGGAAACACCAAATTGTGATGTGACCATAATTGCTTTGCTGGTGGAAGCGTACAAGATTACCTCATCTATAATAAGCCATTAAAAAGATAAATTTTCATGGGTCTAGATTAACTCCATTACAACCATATAGATGTATTATAACCATATTTACATCATTTGTATAAAATCTGTGTGATGATAACTAAAATCAACATACAATGATAACTATGTTATCCATTGGGTCAACAAATGACAATAACCACACACTAATGGTTAAATATCTCTTTTCATAAGAAAGTTGTCTACCATCACTCTATGCTACCCTGTACATTATTTTATTCCTTGATTGTTAATTTACAGGTGTAAAGATTCTGCTTTCTAACAGTATGGCCAGTCGTGGGATGAGTGAAACACAAAGGTTACGGCAGCAGATGGAAGAGCAACTTGACCGATTAATGGCACAGTTAGCTGATCTTGAGGAATGCAAGTAAGAAATGAAAAACTTGTTAAATGTTAATCAGAAGTGGATAACTCAAATTAGATTTATCTCATTCTATCCTATCATCAAATGAGTATTAGTGATTAAGCTTTTGTAATAATATCTAAACTGTATACTGTACAGTACTAGAATATGAGAGATCCAAATACACTACTGCATTTAAAAGCATGTCTCTGCCATTTATCTTTTTATACTGTTCCATGTTGAGAGTTTATAGTATCCACACAACTTAAATGTTTTCAGGGAATTGTTTCAAATCATGGAATAATGTGTAAAATTACTTTATGGGAGGGAATAATGCTATTGGTGTTTGTATTCAGTGAGTGGCACCTATGCCCGGTGTTCCTGCTTGGTTTGTTCTTCAGGATCTGGCAAGCTTTTTGCAGTTTTTGAAGGATTTATTATGGAAACACCAGGCCTTCAATTCTGCCCTCACAGGATGTAAATTTGATGGATGTGCCTCAGTTTTGTTGTATTCTGATGTCCATTCTTGCTACCTGTCATGTTGCCTGTTGAATGGAGGATACATTTCACCCTGAGGCCTGTGAGGTTCATGGTCATTGGGTCTCTGTTTTAGCTGAGCTTTTCCCTGGCACTCTGCTTATCAAGCAGCTGTTGATTTTGAGCTAGGTTTGCTCTTATCTGTAGGTTGCGGCTTACCATCAATGTGGTTACCCCATGGCCGGCCCTTTTGACATTTTCAGGACCTGATCTTGGAGCAGTTGCTCTTTTCTACTTGGTCTAAGTTTGCTCCTCCGTCTCGTTCGCCGGGTTCAACAGTTATTGTGTAGTGGGCCTGGGGTTTCCCCTTCTGCTCCCAGTTCTGAAATGCCTGGGGGTTTCAAAGCCTGGGGGGTGGTGTTTATTTAGGCATGTTTATGCCTTCTCTGGAGACCACCTCTTCCACTTTGACACCAAAGGGAGTTGAGCTTCTGTTTCCTCATAAGGATCTGCTCCCTTTCATTCCTCAGGAGGGTTTTCCTGCTGCAGATCCTTCCCTGTAAAGTTGTGGATGGAATTGACTTCAACAACCTCTTCCTTCAATGCATTCCACTTGCCTACAACCGTACAGGGAATGAGAATGTCCTAACATTTCCTTGACTCAATTGTTTGTCCGGCTTCTACTGATGTTCCCCTTGTCCTAACTTTTTTTTAATTTAAATAAGCTTCTTTTATCCATTTTATCTATTCCCTCCAAGATCTTGTGCATACTTAATGTATCCCTTCTGATATGATCAACCGTCAGGAGTGGGCAGATAAATTATGCTCACTCCTGAAGTTTGCTAAGGTCTTCTTGCAGCACCCTACAGTCCTTTTCAGTTCTTTCTCGTCTCATTAACTTTGCATCATCTGCAAACATCAATATGTATGAGCTCCACTCCCTCTGTCAGGTCATTTACATGAATTAAAAGCAATTGTCCTAGGACAAAGCCCTGTGGAACACCACTTTCCACTCCTCTCCAGTCTGACATATCCTCTCTGACTACAACGCTTTGTTTTCTGTGTGTCAAGTACTCCCATACTCAATCTAGTGCCTTTCCTGTTATCCCTCCTTGTCTTTCCATCTTGTGTATTAGCCTCCTTGTATTTCCATTTTGTGTATGAAATGCATCAAAATCTTTTTGCCAGTCTTAAAATTCAATCAAGTTTGTTAAGTATGATTTTTACTATCTGAAACCATCATGTGCCTCCGTTATAAAATTTACTCTTTCCCCAAATGTTCTATTTTCCTTTAATTGATGACTTTTTCTGGGTGGAGCCCCTTCGGCTCCCTGGAGCTATCCAGGCTATCCAGGCTGATATGGATATTATTAGACTTTGGCATCAGTCAGTGTGAATAGAGTTCATAGGCCTACCAGGGACCACGAGCCAGAACCTGGCCCCCTCAGAGAGGCTTGAGGAGCAATGGCCTATAGAATTGCACATGTGATTTGGAGCATTCTATGTCTGCCATCGACCGGGTCAGGTACCCAAAAAAGGTAAGCATCCCAAAACAAACCACTATTCTGGCTAAGACTACTACTAAAAGTCAAACGATTGGACAGAACTCCCCAAAGAAAAACAAGCAAACAAGCATGATGTCATCACTTGCTGCGCTGCTGTCTGTGCGGCTCCCACCTCCCTGGGAGGGGGAAGGGGGAGCCCCAGACCCCCCATGCCAGCTACCCACACCTTCAGTTCTTCGGCCGATGTGAATGGCATTGGTCATCATGGCTCTGGCTCCTGACTTCTGTCCTTTGCTCTGTGTCTTGTGGTATGGGGTGAGTCTTCTCTGGTGGTGATCCTGTTTCACAGTCACAGAGAACATAGAATTTCAATCCAAATCTGTTGCATTTGGAGGGAATATACTGCTTGAACCCAACACGTCCTTTGAAAAGCACAAGGGATTCGTCAATCACCAGCTTCTGTGCTGGTACATAGAAATCTCTGTATTTTCCAATCACTTCATTCATAATGTGCCTGACTCTCCAAAGTCTTCATAATGTGCCTGACTCTCCAAAGTCTATCATCCTCTGTCCAGTCTTCATTACAGGCATACCTCAGTTTAAGAGTTTAATTGGTTCCTGGAGACGCCTCGTATTCCGAAAACTCGCATTCCGAAGCTAATTTCCCCAAAAGAAATAAAGAGAAATGAATTAATCCGTTCCTGACTACCCCAAAAACCCCACATCAAACTAAATTTTTATACCTAATTCATCTAAATAAACCTACAAAACTATGTTCCAGTTATTACTTACCTTGCTGTCGAGTGCTGTAGGCGTATGGAAGATGGTGAGGAGGGGGGAGGAGGAGAGGAGTTACTGTTTGGAAGGGGAGTCCCCTTCCATAATCACATCAGGCAGTGAGGACCTTTCTGGTGTGCTCTCCCTGGGACGTTTTATCTGAGTGCCACTAGGTCCTGGTTGAGGCTCACTGCTCGATTTCCTCACCACAAATCTGTCCATGGAAGCTTGCTTTTCCCTTCTTCGCAAGCTCTCTCTGTAGTAAGGCATCACATTGTCATTGAAAAGATTAAGACAACGGCCTACTACAGCTTTCTCTGGGTGAGTCTTTTCAACAATTGTTTGAATCTCTTCCCACATCTGACACACCTTAATTACTGCAGAAGGGACATTCGCTTCTAGACATTCAAAGTCTAGTTCTCTCACACATTCAGGCCACAATTTTCTCCAGCCAGAGATCAGGGTTCTTTGAGTCACTTCTTGCCAGGCTTTGTCAACGAGTTTTAAAGCACTACAAATGTTAAAATGCTGTTTCCAGAACTCTTTGAGGGTGAGGTTTGTGGCTTCAGTCACTTCAAAACATTTCCGGAAAAGTGCCTTTTCATAAAGTTTCTTAAAATTCGCTATGATTTTCTGGTCCATAGGCTGAATTAGAGGAGTGGTGTTAGGAGGAAGGAATTTAACTGTGAGGAATTTATTGTATCTGGGCAACAAATCATCTTCCAAGCCTGGAGGATGAGCATGAGCATTGTCGAGGAGAAGCACGGCTTTGAGTGGCAAATGTTTCTCCTGCAGATATTTTTCTATGGCAGGGCACAGCACTTCATTCACCCACTCCGAAAAAATAAGCCTAGTCACCCATGCTTTTTTATTAGACTTCCACATCACACACAAATGGGTTTTCTGCACTTTATACTGTTTGAAAACCCTTGGATTTTCAGAATGATACACTAGCAAGGGTTTAATTTTCAAATCGCCACTCGCATTTGAACACAGCACAAGCGTAAACCTATCTTTCATAGGCTTGTGTCCAGGCAAGGATTTTTCCTCCTTGGTAATGTATGTCCTCTTAGGCATTCTTTTCCAAAACAGTCCTGTTTCGTCACAATTAAACACTTGTTGCGGTAGGTATCCCTCAGCCTCTGCAAACTCTTTAAATTCGTCAATAAATCGTCCAGCGGCTGGTTTGTCTAAGCTGGCTGCCTCCCCATGCCTTGTAACACTATGGATACCACTTCTCTTTCTAAATTTTTCAAACCAGCCCCTGCTTGCCTTAAACTCTTTCGTATCTGCATCACTCGTTGCAGGGGTATTCTTTAGAAGGTCTTCGTGCAACACCCTGGCTTTCTCACAAATAATGGCCTCCGAAACACTATCACCCCTCAACTCCTTGTCGTGTATCCAAATTAATAACAACTTTTCCACTTCTTCAAGTATTTGTGGTCTTTTCTGGGGGGAGCCCCGTCGGCTCCCCGGAGCTATCCCAGGCTGATATGCTAATGTCAGACTTTGGCATCAGTCATGTGTATGGAGTTCTTAGGCCTACCGGGGACCACGGCCAGAACCGGGCCCCCTCAGAGAGGCAAGGGGAGCAATGGCCTATAGAAGCCCCCGTGTAGTTGGAAGCATTCTATGTCTGCCATCGACCGGAACAGGCACCCAGAAAGGTAAGCGCCCCAAAACAAACCCCTATTCTGGTTAAAATTGCTACCTAATACCGAACTAGTGGATAGAACTCCCCAACCGAAAACAAGCAAATTAGTGTGACGTCACACACTGCCGCGCCGCTGTCTGCGCAGCTCCCCCCTCCCCGGGAGGGGGAAGGGGGAGCCCCAGACCCCCCGCGCCGGCTACCCACACCTCAGTTCTTGAGGCTGATGCTATTGGCGGTGGTCGTGTGCTCTGGCTCCGGTGTCGCTACTGCACTGTGCTTTGAGTGTGGTGTTAGTTTTGTGGGTGTGAGAGCCAGGAGTTATCTTCAGTACTCGGGCTGCATGCGCCTAGGGCTGCCTTCCCTAGGTGCCCTGTAAGTCCTGCCCTTGGGGCTTGGGGCCAACTTCCACAGGCTCCTCGGGGTCTGCCTCTGCTGGTCCGTTTTACCTTTCGGTTTTTCGGCCGCCTGTTGGGCTCTTGGGTGTTCTGTTCTCCCTTGTTACCGGCAGGTAAGAGGCAGTTTGCACTGGTCGGGGCGCAGGGTGCTGCTCAGCTTGTAATTCCCGACATCGCGGCCGGCTCTGTTCCTTGGGGTTCGCTGTCCTCTTGCGG